CAGGATGGTCTCGATCTCCTGACCTCGTGATCCGCCCGTCTCGGCCTCCCAAAGTGCTGGGATTACAGGCTTGAGCCACCGCGCCCGGCCTAATCTTATCCATTTTTTGATCCACTTCTGCCTCTTGCCCAAAGACCAAGTTCCACTTATCTCCACTGTCCTCTGGGAGCATAGGCCATTATGCCTGGCCAGAGAAATTAGAAAGACACCTACCTATCTGTTCAATCACAATTACCTTTTAACTATTAACCATAACTATTAGAATATATTAACCAACCCATTCTTGATTTTATAGCACTTTTACCACATGGAGCCACTGGCAACAAAGCAATTTGAAACTTTCTTCCCCTCCTCCAACCCTTTTTTACACTTTCTTTCTTACCCTGACTATTCACTCTGTTTGCCACTTCTCATTCTTACATAGAAGCATCTAAGAATAAAAATACATCAGAACAGAAGACTATGGGAATACCAACCCAACTCTCTCATTTCAGAGATGAGGAAACTGAGTCTTATTTATCCAGTTTATTTCTCAGGAAAAATAGAATGAGAGAGAAAAGACAAAGAAAGAGAAGACAATGAATCAGAAATATAAGTCGTTCTTCCTAGAGCTTTTTTTTTTTTTTTTTTTTTTTTAACCAAAATACCAACTTTCACATTTTCTGGACAAGAACTCTCATCTGGACAATCTAACATAATGCAAAGTCATGAGGACAAAATAGTGCTGGAAAATAACACCGACCCAGTCTCTGCCTCAAAGTCATCAGGGGCTGGGTCCTGCCCTTCTTCTCTCTCTCAGGCCAGCCATTTATCCAACGAAGTGTCTTCAGTATGCACACTATTGATAAGGCTAATGATATGGGGTGACTTTGCCCTCAAAAAACTTACAGTCCAGCAGAGAGAAAATGAGCATCTAAAACCTGATACCATGTTTTTTGCATACTAAGCATATTGGAATATGAATAAATGTGGCGCAGAAAATGGGAAATAATCTTTTCCTAGAACTATCAGGAAAGTTTCCAGAACTGAGATCTGAGGTGAGGTTTTATAGGTAAGTATATTTTGCAAAATGGACAGGGTCAGGAAGGCCATCTCGTGCAGGGCAAATAGCACATGAAAGGCATGGAAGAGTGAACAGCCCTTGGATGTGGGAACAACAAGAAGCTGCAAAGGTGAGAGAAAAATTGTAAGAAAGGGTTAGATTATAAAGTACCTTACAGGTTATGCTAAGAATTTTACTGTATAAAAAATAGCAAGGCACAAATAATTTTACACCGGGGAGAGAAATGAGCAAACTGTGCTTTAGAAAGGTCACTTCGTCAGGAATGTACAGTAGTGCTTTCTAAACTTTAACATACATTCAATACACCCAGGGATCTTGGTAAAATGCAGGTTTTGGTTCCTAAGTTCAGGGTTGAGGTCCAAGATGCTAATGCTTTCTGGTGATGCTGATGCAGCTGTTCCTTGGACTATGCTTCAAGTGGAAAGGGTAGAGGACAGGTTATTGCGAGATAAGGGTAAAGTCAGGGAGATTAGTTCTGGGCCTAGTGTAATGATTTGTGTGAGGGATGATGATAACCTAATTAAGAAGTAATCGTGGGGAAAAAGGGAGGTGGTTACAGAAATGTTTCAAAAGTAACATCACAAAGATCAAGGACTGATTGCATGTGAGGGCACAGAAGGCATAATGGATGGTGTCATGCTTCTCACTTGGGAGTCTGGGATGTAGGGATGCTGTTGCTACCAACCAAGATACAGAATTGAAGAGTTTCAGCCGGGCGCAGTGGCTCATGCCTGTAATCCCAGCACTTTGGGAGGCCGAGGCGGGTGGATCACCTGAGGTCGGGAGTTTGAGACTAGCCTGACCAACATGGAGAAACCCTGTCTCTACTAAAACTATAAAATTAGCTAGGCGTGGTGGTGCATGCCTGTAATCCAGCTACTGGAGAGACTGAGGCAGGAAAATCGCTTGAACCCGGGAGGCGGAGGTTTCGGTGAGCTGAGATCATGCCATTGCACTGCAGCCTGGGCAACAAAAGTGAAATTCTGTCTCGAAAAAAAAAGAATTTAACAGTTTTGAAAATGATCAGCTACAGTGGGAAGATTAGGTGAAAACAGGTAACAGAGCAAGGTGAACGGTGTTTGAGGTACTACAAAACATCCAAGTAGACAATATCAGAAGATGGTTTTGGATATTTGTGTCCAAAAATTGGGGAAAGACCCCAGGAAGAATTATAGATTTTAAAATCATTAGAATTAATTACAGTGAAAACCATGAAAAGAAATAAATTACCTATGTGTTGGCATAAACTGTAAAGAGAAGAGGCCAGAGGATGGACTCCTAAGAATCATCAACAGTGAAAGAGCTGATGGAAAAGATCCAGGCACACAGATGAGAGGGAACAGCTGGAAAGAGAGCAGAGGCACCAGGAAGAGCAGTATCTTCTTTTTTTTTTTTTTTTTTTTTTTTTTGAGACGGAGTTTCACTCTTGTTGCCCAGGCTGGAGTGCAATGGCGTGATCTCGGCTCACTGCAACCTCCGCTTCCCGGGTTCATATGATCCTCCTGCCTCAGCCTCCAAAATAGCTGGGATTACAGGCACCCAACACCACACCCGACTAATTTTTGCATTTTTAGTAGAGACAAGGTTTCACTATGTTGGCCAGGCTGGTCTCAAACTCCTGACTTCAGGTGATCTGCCCACCTCAGCCTCCCAAAGTGCTGGGATTACAGACGTGAGCCACCACACCCTTAAGAAACCACACCACACTCTTAAGAAACAGAGTAGTTTCTTAAGGACTGAAGGAGCTGAGTTTGAAGGAGTGGTTATGGCCTTGAGTACCACAGAGAAAGAGAAGTCAAGTAAGAAAAGGACTAAAACAGGTCCCATAAGCCTATCAAAGTCTCCCTGTCTTCTAGAGCACAACAGTGCTCTAGAAACACCAAAACAGGAGGAGAGAAGCCGAGAAAGACAAAGATGCTCTTTCCAAAGCCACTGGAGGATCCACAGCAGCTCTTCTAACACTTTAGTTTCCCCATCTGTGCTGCAAATTCAAATTAAAATCTTAAGCCTGGCCCCAAATTTTCTTACTGTCTTAGGTATAATGATTGTATTGTACCATCTTCCACAGAAGAAACTGCACAGTGAGAAGAGCAGCTATTTCTCAGTTTACAAAGTCACAAGTAAACAATCTACCTGACAAGATATAAAGGATGTAATGGTTTGAAGAACACATCTGTCTCCTTGGTAGACTTTCATAATGGGTGGTGGTGGCAACAGCAGTAATGGAGATGGTGATGGTCATGGTGGTGATGGGGATAGTGATGATGGCGATGGTGGTGTAGGGATGGTGGTGGTGGTGATGGCAGTGATAGTGGTACTGGTTATGATGGTGATGGTGAATGGTGGTCATGGTGGGTGGTGGTGATGGTGGTAGTGAGTGTGGTGGTGGTGGGGGATGGTGGTGATAACTGTGGTGGTGGTGATGGTGATAGTAGCAGTAGTGATGGTGGTGGTGATGGCAATAATGGTGGTAGTGGTGGTAATGGTAGTGGTTATGATAATGGTGATGGTGTTAGGTAATGATGGCAGTGGTGATGATGATGGTGTGTGCACGTGTGTATGTGTGTCTTGGGGTAGAAGGGAAGATTATGAGGTAGACAAGCAGGACATTGGGAAGGAAATAGAAGGTTATGGTGTAGCATTTCCAGATAAATAAAGGAAATACAGGTAAATTCAAATTCCGAGTAAACAATGAATAATTTTTAGTATGAGAATGTCCCACATAAATTTAATTTGGTGTCCTGTATATTTATTTGCTAAAATCAAGCAATCCTAGTGCATTCAGTAAAAGAATCCAAGCAAGAGCTGACTTCTAGCTGAGGACTCTAAATGCCTTACATAGTATTGCCTGCTGGTATCCTTGAAATAAGCTCTTTAGCCATAAGCCAATCAAAAATAATCCTGTACAGAAACCAAGGAACTTGGTTCTTGAGAGGAACTCGGTTCTTGAGAGGAACTCTTAAATACTCTCTAAAAACAGAGTTTTTCTGTTTCTATAAATGCAAAAATTATTTGAACAATATGTTACTTATAGAACAGAAGAAAAACCCTCCACCTCCACCTCCCACCTCCACATATCTAGAATTAGGGTGAAAACCAAGTCCTTACAAGTTTGTGGTTCTTGCCATGGAGTGGCCATACAAGCTGTGGATGTCATAGTGAAGGCCTCCCTGAAACTCCGTGTCCATGCAGAGAGTTCTTGCAAAAAGTAAGTGATCCAGAACTCCTGGAGGGAAATACTCGTTAGTGAGGCACTTCCTCATTAACCATCTTTAACAAAATAGCAGCCCAATTATTTTCTTCCTGATTACAGTACCTTCCCCACCAATCTCCACCTGACCAAATCCATTCCAGATTTTAAATTCTATCCTAAATGCTATGTCCTGCCTGGGGCTCACACCGAGCCCTCCAAGGAGATGAATTATTAAAATTAATCTGCATTCCCTCGAGCTCACAAAGAATCCTGGTGAGGGGAGGCAACTGAGAAACGTGCTCAGAGTAAACACAGTGGATGTGAGCCTAAGTATAAAGCATATAATGTTTATCTACATATATTTAATCAAGAGAAATGGAGTGTACAATGTATAGGTACGAAGGCAGAGAAATGGAACTTTTTCTTTTTTATAATACAGTCACACTTAGAAGAAAAATAGGGGCCGGGCATGGTGGTTCACGCCTGTAATCCCAGCACTTTGGGAGGCCGAGGTGGGTGGATCACCTGAGGTCAAGAGCTTGAGACCAGCGTGACCAATATGGTGAATCCCCGTCTCTACTAAAATTACAAAAATTAGCCGGGCATGGTGGCGGGCGCCTGTAGTCCCAGCTACTTGGGAGGCTGAGGCAGGAGAATTGCTTGAGCTGGGGAGGCGGAAGTGGCAGTGAGCCGAGATCTCACCACTGCACTCCAGACTGGGCGACAGAGCGAGACTACATCTCCAAAAAGAAAAGAAAAGAAAAATAAGATGTGACATTTGGGTAGTCTGATAGTTTGATGTGTAAGTACTCAAATCCTGTCTTTGAGAATTCTCATTGTTTGCATTTTCCCTTCCTCAAGCCTAAAACGGCCAGTCTTCTCTGCCACTTCCTCTCCTTGTGAACTCTTCACTGGGGCCGTATCTACCTTCCTTCACCAAGTCTTGCCCATACCTAGGACCTGAGCGTGAGGCACAATTCCAGAAAGTGGTGGGACCAGTAAAGATTGAGGTTGAGTTTTTCCTACCCACTATAACAGAAGCAAGGTTTGGAGTTGGAAATTAAGTAGAAATGTAAGATGGGAAGAAAATTCTATCTCTTGCACAGCTTGGTATGTGGCATGAGATTCACAACCACTTCAGTGCTCTTTCTCTTGCTAATTAATGTGCACTCTGCAATCCTGGAAATGGGAGGGGCTGCCTGGCTATGAGCAAAAGTTGCCGGTCATATGTGAGTAGACAAAATGCTGAGGGTAGCGAGTGGGGTCCCCACCAGAAGCAAGCAGAAAGTGATAGGATTGAGGTTTTCTGTAGGGCAAAAAAAAAAAAAAATCAAAAACAAAAGTTAGTTTTGGCCAAAAAGAGGATTGAGAGATTAAGAAAAAACGAAACATGATAAACTAATCCAGAGTGGAAAAAAAATGGGGGAATACAGACAGAGCAGAGAAGAACAAAGAGTAAGTCGAAAAAGCAAACAGTAGATTTTGCAAGAGGTCAAGACTTCCTCCAAAAAATTATTTACTCCTTAAGTGACCAAAAGGAGTTAAAGAAACAGCTGTACCTTGGTCTCAGGGGTATAAGTAAAGTGGGCAAATCAGAATACACTGACTGTTCAGGTGCCCAACATGCCAGCGTTCTCTTCCTGGAAATATAAGAAGATTATACCTTCCCTTGAGATTAAGCTGAGGCTACGTGACCAGATTCCAGCAAAGAAATTTGGGCAAATTGGGTACACCTCCCTTCTAGGCCTGCCCATAAAATCTTCTCCACCCTCTCTCTCCCTCATCCAGGAAGCCAGAAACAAAGGTCTCTGAGGAGATGGAAGAACCAGACATAGATCTGAGTCACCACTTGGATTCAAGTTACCCATCCCTCACCAGCGTATGATGTGGGCAAAAAACAAACGACTATGACGTGAGTAAAAAGTAAGCGATCATTGTGTTAATCCACTGAGATACTGGGGTTTATTTGTTGCCAGAGCATAGTCTATTCTATACTGCCACCGCCACCCACCACCTCCACACATATTCTTTCAAAATCAGAAACTAGAAAATTGACCTTGACTAGAAATGGCACCTATAAATAGGACCTTGAAGGCACCACTGATGCTTTAAACTGTTGTTAATGATCAGAGAAAGAGGGAGGAAGGGAGGGAAAAAAGAAAAATGGAAGAAGGAAGGAAGGGAGGGTAAGGAGGAAAGAAGGAAGGAAAGAATAAAGAAAACAGTTAAGAAGATTACAGGTTTGCTTCAATTTAAGGTAGTTTGTATCCTAAAGTGTCCTGAAATTCTCATAGATTTTAAAATTGACACCTGAGGGATTTGGGGGAAATGAACAGGATGAAAGCATTTTGAACTCTAGACTGGAAGGCCAACCAGGGGAGGTAGGCAGGCTCAGACTTTGTCACAGGCTTGCCCTGGAGTTATGACAGCAAAAGGGTAATCAGAGAGCCGACACTGCTGCAGAGACTTCGGTAGAGGAGTGTTCAGATGTTTAGGAGACCCCTTGGACTGGGAAGTGAAATTGCTCCTGACCACACTGAGTGTTACTGAGGGTGTTTTAAACATGGCTTATTCCTACGTCACAGCAAACCGGTGAAAACTTACTAGGAAGAAAAGGAGGAAAGTTCAAGTTGTTGGATTCACACTGGTCATTAGAAGCTTGGAGTAAGCTAGCAACTTCATTCATTTCCTTCAAAGACACAAAACACACCAAGTGTAAAATGCGATTGAGCTACATTTAGCTGTTGAGAAATGCTTACTGAACTAGGAGCCAGAATATCTGGGTCCCTTATTAACCGCTTTTTGGATTTTAAATAATCCCCCTAATTTTTCTTACCCTTTGTTTCATCTTTTACAAAATTGAGTCATTGGATTAGGTTACATATTTGTACGGTATGTTCCACTTCTAAACGACATTTTTACCTTTTATCAATTGATTTCAATCAGCTAATTCAGAAATACTGTTTCAAAGGTTGATCCCTGCCTACAAATTGTAAAGATTTTATTGTTATTGTTAAAAACCTAAGATAAACTAACATTTCTATTGTATAACTGTCCCTATCCTTTATTCCTCTGAGTGAGGAACAATAAGAGAATATAATTAAGATCAAATCTATTTTCTTACATGAATTAAAAATAAGTATGTCTAATCTTGGTAACAAACAAATTTTTTTTAATCATTGCATATCTTAGTCATCAGAGTGCTTCTGAAAATGACTGCTCCAATGCCTTGCACATTGGCACTCAGAACATTTGTTGAAGAAATTCCTACTGTTCTTCCACAAAAATATAGACCCTCATTAAATTATTATCTAATGATTAATTTAAAATTTTATGAATGAATGCTACAAATAGTAGCAATTACAATACCATTTTAATAAAACAGTATTTTTAAACTGACAACCAGTTAATGGAGAAAGCAAAAACTTTATCAAAATGAAATAACCAGTTGATGAAAGATGCAAGATAAGAACCTAAGGCTCTTAGGAGCCTAATTCACTGGATATAGATGCAGCATTAAGTAAAATAATTTTTAATACTACTACGTAAAGCGAACTATTTTTTACTACACATCAAAGTCAAAACTCATCTGAAAATTTGGCATATCTGTTTCCAAATGAAATTTGAGTCTGCAATAATAACTTACAATCCACACTCCATCAAACTCCAGACGATCATGAAATTTAGCGACCTGATCTATCCACCACTCAGTGCATACTGGATTGGTATAATCGGGAAAGACTGTCGGTCCCGGATATCCCTAGGACACAAAGAGGAAGGCTGTGGCAATCAGCTTGGTTGAAGGTTTTTCATTTTTACAGACAATGATTTCTTCTATTAGGAGCCTCATTTTGCTTGTCATTTTAGAAATAAAATGTGTGACTCCCCCAACAGAAACTAAACAATAAAATGCATACAAGGAACAAGAGGAAGAAACAATAAAAGGAAAAGCAACTGAGTAAATCGATGAAAAGCCACCATAAGTCCTTTTCTGTGCAAAAAGAAAATTTGAAAAGTACAATTTCATTATGTCAGCCCAGTTGGGAGACAAATTGTTTAAAATACTAGAAAGTCTATAGAATATTTTTCAAGAGAATGAACTTTTTCCAAGTGTTCTTAATTGAAGGTCACATAAAGTCTACTTTGAATAATTATGATTATAAATAACCTGTTGATATTTTTGGCATATAAACACTATTTTATAAATGGTTGAATGAAGTTTGCACTTCTTATTCAGGTCATTTTTTAAATTCTATCTCCCTTTTCTGTCTATGCCTATCAAACAATAGCTTTAAAGATTTTCCACAACAAAGATATAACCATAGACAAATTTTTGAAAATTCGGAATTAAAAGGATACCAGTTTTTGTGAAAAAATTTTGTTCATTTTCCCCATACATTTATAGATTGTAATTTAGGAACAACTTTACAGTCTGGGAACATAATGAATACATATTTTAAAATGTGGATAATTCTCAAAGCTCAAGATGGGAGCTCGAAGTACCCACAGGAAATGGATTGAGCTCCTGGCTCTTTGTTTTAGGTGATGGGCACCAACTAACCATTAGATGTAACTTTGCCCCCCAGGAAACAGGTGGTGTCACAAAACAGTCACCTACAGCAACATTCAATCTAGAGCAAGCCAGCAAATTTGATTCAACCAAGTGGGTTTAAAACAAACCACTGGCCAGGCACGGTGGCTCACACCTGTAATCCCAACACTTTGGGGGACCAAGGTGGGTGGATCATGAGGTCAGGAGTTCGAGACCAGTCTGGCCAAGATGGTGAAATTCTGTCTCTACTAAAAATATGAAAATCAGCCAAGCACAGGGGCAGGCGCCTGTAATTCCAGCTACCTGGGAGGCTAAGGCAGGAGAATCGCTTGAACCTGGGAGGCAGAGGTTACGGTGAGCTGAGATTGTGCCACTGCACTCCAGCCTGGGCGACAGAGCAATACTCCATCTCAAAAAAAAAAAAAAAAAAAGAAAACAAAACAAAAAACATGCACCACTATGCACCTCCACTACTGCTATCTCTGCCAACATCTTAGATTAAATGATTCATGCCATTTATTGGTCAATGAAGTCAACCATCTAATTCATTCTTTGTAATTATATGCAAATTCTTAATTATATATCACTCAAACATGAGTACTATTGAAATGACTCATATGTGTGGATAAAATTTTAGGTGAGCAAAATAATTTTTATTTGACTATGGACTCTAAATGTAGTATATAAATATGGGCTTATCTAATATTTTAGAAATTAGCTTCTAACGAATCAGTAAAGGCAAAGACTTGGTGTGCAGAAGGAAGAAAACTTTCCTACTGCTTTATGAAAAGTTAGAATCAATGAAAAAAAAGTAAATAGAATTAAGCATCGAAAGAGTCAATGAAAGGAACTAAGTGAGCAGAGTTTGGTAAGGGATCATCCATAATCCTGAAAAGACAGTTCTGCAAAATAAACCACTCAGGAGCAACAAGTTCTGCAGTCACCTGAACTCTCTAGATGAAGCACCAATTTGAGTAAATCTTACAGAATCCAATTATCTAGGGCTGACCCTACATATAATTGAAATTGCCTATGTGATTTGATTTAAAGTCCTCTCAGAAATTTTGTTATCCTGAATATAGGCCCCAGCTCAGCCTATTCCAATGCCTGAGTCTTCTACCTTAGAATCAAAACCGTGCTCTATCTATAAGTCTTGTGTAAATTTAAAACATAGGCCGGGCACGGTGGCTCACACCTGTCATCCCAGCACTTTGGGAGGCTGAGGCAGGCGAATCACCTGAGGTCAGGAGTTCAAGATCAACCTGGCCAACATGGAGAAACCCCGTCTCTACTAAAAATACAAAAGTTAGTCGGGCCTGGTGGTGTGTGCCTCTAATCCCAGCTACTCGGGAGGCTGAGGTAGGAGAATCGCTTGAACCCAGGGGTCGGAGGTTGCAGTGAGTCAAGATCATGCCATTGCACTCCAGCCAGGGTGACAAAAGTGAAACTCCATCTCAAAAAAAATAAAAATTAAAAATTAAAAAAATAAAATACATTAGCTGAGATCAGTTCCATATTAATCTATGAGCATCATGCTATATTTTTGTAGTTGAATTTATGTCTTGGGAAAGAGAAATTTGGAGATGGGAGGGCTTTAGGAACTGATTTTTCTTCTAATTATATATTGCTTCTCAATTATCTATGGTATTAGAGGATCAAGGCTAGCTTTTTAAATGCTTCAGATTTTTAATCATTCTATTATTATATCTACTGGTTTAAAATAGTAATAAAAGAAACCTCTAAAGCCACGAAAACAGTAACAATATTGTAACTTGCCTTTCACCCATCTTCGTACCAAAAGTACAAACTCTCCAAAACAATCATAATTTATTTTTATTTTCTTAGGAAATTACCTCCCCAACAGCAAAGCCATTGTTCCCCAAGATCCACACTCTCTTTAGGCTTCCATTATTATAGGGCTCGTAGTTAGAGTTTTTGGAGATGCCAGGATTCTAATAAAGAAATATGATACAAATATTATTTTTATAAATTGTTTTGCACTGTGAAAGAAAAAATAAAGTAACAAGTGTTTGAACATACCATAATAATAACATATTTCTGTCCATTTTCATGTAACTCCTTGACAAAATCTGGGAGACCGGAGTAAGCGACTTCATCAACAGTGAAATCCTTCTTTCCATCCATGTAGTCTATGTCAGAGTACTGGACATCCTGAAAGAGAGCTCTGGCCAGTCAGAACCCAGGAAACAGCACTGTGCTGATGGGAAGTATTACAGCTCTGGTTCCTGACCATTGAAAATGAAACCACATTTCCTACTGATCCTGGAACTTCCAGGGCTTGGCTACTACTTAGGAGTAAATAAGCCATCTTTGAAACACATGATTGCTGTTTGGTTGCAGTTTTACTTCCTTGTCCTGACAGGTGCATGTCATAAGGTATTGGGCGGGACTTAAGAGCAGGAATTACATCTTGTTCATCTCTGCAACTTGAGAGCTTGGATGCTTGACATAAAACAGATGCTCTCTAAATGATTGTTTGAATGAATTATATTATTAATGTTATAACCATGTACTAACTTAACCCAAGCATCAAGCCAGAATATATCATATGGGGAGAAAATGATCTTTTGCCCTATGAAAGTGCTAGAGTAATGATTAACAAAGATCAATGACAAAAAGATAAAGCCTTACTCAACTAAACTCTCAAGCACACATTTTTCCTTGTGTTTGCGTACCAGCCTATGGGGAGCAGCTGTTATTCTTAGTGAGCAAATTGAAATGTGAGGGAGTTCAGTGACATTTCCCAAAGTACGTGCCCTGGGAGGTGGGGTGGCTGATGAGGGCTTTGGGGACAGGCTCTTTGGCTTCAGATGCTCTTTTTTCCCCCAATCTGCCACTTTCCTCAAAGACAAAGGAAGTGTTCTTCTAAGTGTTCCTCAAGTATCATACAGTAGGAGTCTCGACCTTACAGGCCTGAAGGAAAATGTGGCTTGTAGTCTGTTGCCCAAAGTGGCATCAACTGTTCTAATACTGGGCAGTCATTTAGGACCCAGGTGTCCTCCACAAACACATACAGGGAAAGATTCTATTTGTGGAAGAAAATTCTTCCTCGAATTGGATGTTTGCAGATAGTAGATATGGGAGAAGTAAAATTAAATACAATCAATTCCCCTTTGACACCAAAACACATTGACCATCTATTTTTTTCACAGGAAAAACTGATCCTCCTGCCTGCCCTTATCACTACTCTGAGAGGGGATTGAAGAACCCTGAAAGCAAGCCAAAGCCATTTCCACATGTTCAGTCTTCCTTCGAATGTTAACATTCTACTCTTTTTTTTTTTTTTGAGACAGAGCCTCACTCTGTCACCCAGGCTGGAGTGCAGTGGCACGATCTCAGCTCACTACAACCTCTGCCTCCAGGCTCAAGTGATTCTCCTGCCTCAGCCTGCTTTGTAGCTGGGATTACAGGCATATGCCACCACACCTGGGTAATTTTTTTGTATTTTTAATAGAGACGGGGTGCCACCATATTGACCAGGCTGGTCTCGAAATCCTGACTTCAAGTGATCAACCCACCTTGGCCTCCCAAAGTGCTGAGATTACAGGTGTGAGCCACCACACTGGGCCAACACTATATTCTTACATCAAAGTTTCAAAATCCCAAAGAGCTACCCCAAATAAGTTGTTCTGATAAATTCTTTAGCCACATGTTATGCATCTCCTGGAGAAGATGATCAAATATTATATACTTAATAATTATCTTGACTTACTGGTGGATATGGAACATCATAAATACTGATGCAACCATGAAACTTCAAAATTAGAGTTTGTCAGATCTGGGAGGAGTATACGAGGTCACCGTGAGAAACTCATTTACTGTAAGTCATTATAATCATCATCTCTTGTTACTCATGTCACCTCCAGTGTTGCTTTCTCTAATATCATAACAGCTAACTTTGATGATGTTCACCTTCTGTGCTAGATGCTTTACATGCACAGTACTTACTACCAGCCCATTCCTTACTACCAGCCCACCAAAGCAAGTCTTACATTCTCATTCTATAAAGGTGGAAACTAAGACTCAGACATGTTAATTAAGTAGCGCAACATTGCACAGAGCTAGGAAGAGGTAAAGCCAAAATTCAAAGCCATATCTATCTGACTTCATTAACAGTATACTTTTCATGCTCAGATACATAACTTAACATGCAAATTTCTGCCAGCAAGTGTGCCTGTCAATCTATTGATTTATCTACATTTTTCCTAATAAATTGAATTTAATGCAAAAAATAAAAATGGGAATTGGTGTCAAATGCATGCTAAAAGAAGTTTCAACTTACATATGGTATCTCAGCTAAACGATTTCGGCTTACAACTTCTTTCAATTTATTGATGCCACCATAATCCCTGCGACTAAGGTGGAACCCAAGACTCCAATAGGGAGGCAAGAATGGCCGTCCAACAAGCTGAAAAGATAAGCAAGTAAGTGTGTAGACTTTTAGCATAAACACTGTAGCCCCATGCCTAACACTGGAGGCATCAGCCCCATTTCATTTTCTGTGAAGTTCCCAGAGCTGAAAACGTCAGAGCTGAGAGTAATCCGCTAGAATAATTTGTGAAATCCCACAATCACATCCTTCTTTACTAAGTACATAAATGTATTCCCAACATCAGACACTGATAAAATTTGCAGAAAATGTTTCAATAATAGCGTCACCTTGGGGGGAAACCGGTGACATTCATTATTCTATAAGTGTTTTTCTGAGTATTTATTTGTTCACAGTGTGGCAAGGGCTAAGATGGGCGCTTGGAATATGGTGGCACAGAACAAACATAGTCCTGCCCTCACAGAGCTTAGAGGAAATAAATAAATGTCTAATATATTTTCAGATAGTGATATGTGCAAAGGGTAAAGGAATAAGAACTGATGAGATTAGGAGTGAGATTACGGACACATGCCACCACGCCCAGCTAATTGTATTTTTAGTAGAGACAGAGCTCTGCCATGTTGGCCAGGCTGGTCTTGCCCAACCTGCATTGGGCGATTCGCCTGCATTGGCCTCCCAAAGTGCTGGAAGTACAGGTGTTAGCCACTGTGTCCAACCTCAAGTTTCTTCCTTTTCTATAATTTGAGTCAAATATGAATAGCTAGCAAAGTTTATTTAGGTAGTTCCTTTTCACTGAATTTTAACTTATTGAATGAATAAGCTTTGCTGATTGGTGGGATACATGATTGGACCATGAGTTACTTGAAAGCAGGATGGTGTCTGACTTATTTTGCATTTCTCAAGCCTTGCACAGTGTCCTTTTGAATGCAGAAAGCACCAAATAAAGGCCATCAAAATAAATAAACAATAGATGAAAGACTATCCCAGCATTTATAATCCATATAGTTTACTAATACCTTTTATTAATTTATAATGAGTATACGAGATAATAGCAGTAAATAAGGACTATCTAAATGCAAAAACATACCTCCAAGTATTGCTGAACCACTTGTTCTGGAGTGTTTCCTAGGAATACATAGAAGTCAAGAATGCCTCCAATCGTGCGATAAGTGATTGCAGGAGCTGGCTGAAGGGTAACCTCTGAAAAAATTATAATGAGATTTATTAGAATCTTCTGGTTGGAAGTAGACTCTTCTCTGCAGTATAAATAGCTGAGCTATCTGAAAGAGTCTCAGTCTCATTTTGAAAGGGATGAAAATCACACTGTTCTTTTTATCAGAGGATTGCTGTTGGAGTTTGTCAAAATATTTAATGTGTAAGACACCAATGAAGACTTGAGTTTGTTTTTTTTTAAGAGAAAGAAGAACAAATTTTATTTTAACCTGGCCACATACAAATACAAGCTTCTGGGTTTTGTGAGTTGCTTCACCCAAAAAACCTTTAAAAAATTTTATTAGATGAGTTTGACTACAACTAAATATTTAAAAATAAGTAAAAATGCTTATTGGAGTACCATTAACCCAGAAGCTGGAGGAGGAAGATTTGGAGGGGGAAAGGGTGACTGGGCTATGAGAAAGAGCCTACAAAACACAACCTTGTTGCCTACAGGCAGAAAGCACAATTTACACGTTGAAATCTACAGGTATTTTTGGAATGCATCTATCAGTGGATCCTATTTTCTATGGACTATAAGGGGAAACAGTATACCAAAGAAGACCCCTGCAGTGGTTTTCAATGAAAATAATGTCAAGTATGACCTGGATTTGTAGACAGGTTAACCTACTTTCAGGTTCCAGTTTCAGCAAAAGTATTGTAGGTTCAAAATGCTTTCTGTTCAACAGTGATCTCACCATAAAAGTAAGTTTTTCTAAAAGCAGAATCCTAAAACATATTCCTACCTACAGAAGACAAAAAGATGCTTCCTACCCATGGCATTACTGTTCATCAGAAAAACGCCAAAAGAGGAGCCACTGGCGTCTTCAAGGCACAAGAAGAATGTATGAGCTCCATACAGATTAATCATGTCCTGTCAGCAAAACAGAAGAACAGTAATAGTGTTACGTGTTAAGAAAGTTTTCATTCACCCTAAAATAAATTCAAAAGCCATCTATAACATATACTTGGTCAACACTTCATGTAGTATAACATTGTATCAAAAAGGCATTGAAATGATATTATCAACTGGAAAATGAATAAACAGAATACGGTATATCTATACAATAGAATTCCATTCAACAATAATAAAATAATCATACATACTACAACATAAATAAACCTTGAAAGTGTTATGCTAAGGGAAAGAAACTGACACAAACAACCATATATTGTATGATTTCATTGATATGAAATATCTACAAAAGTCAAATCTATAGGGACAGAAAGTAGGTTAGTATTTGGCTCGGGCTGAAGCAAGCTGTGGAGTTTAAGTCTCAAAGGGCAGAAGGGATCCTATTGCGGTGATGTCAAAGTTATAGAACTGGATTATGACGATGCTTGCACAACTCAGTATATGTGCTCAAAGTCATTGAATTGCACACTTAAAACAGATGAATTTTATGGTCTATACATTATAACTCAATCAAGTTATTTTGTAAACATATTTGCTATGATGTATACCAAAATATTAGCAGAAAGTGATGGTATTATGAGTAATTTTGAATTTTTTATGCCTAGTTGTATTTTCTAATGTTTCTGTAGTTAACATATAATACTTAAGTGGAAAAAAAGCTTAAAACTAATAAAAAGAGAAAGAAAAAATATTTAAATCTGTGACAAAGCTGTGATGAGCACTGATACAAGAAGAGATAATGTGTGTGTGTGTGTGTGTGTATAACTCTAAGTGCCTTAAGAATAAAAGAAGTTGAGATCAGAATACGGAGAATGTTTTACAAGCCCCCTGTGTGACAGTATCATCATCTTAGCCACAGCATAAGGCAATAATACTGATAATGGTAAATACCAGGAGAGGGGGAAAAAAAGAATCAACATAATTTGCAAAATTGAGAAGACCAGTAAACCTAGACTAGATGTAAAATTATAGCCAGAAAAACTAATGGCATCACACTTGGATAGCATACAGACAAAATTTTTAAAATACATTTTGAAGAAAGAAAAAAGCAGGAGAGAAAGAAAAGAAAAAAGAAAGGAAGAAAAACAGGAAGAGTGGAAGGCATTACATCTAATTTGTGACTACAATTTAGGAATGTCAGCTATAGAAAGTCAAACGTAGTACGATTCATAGTTTTCAATATTTGCCAGGGTCCTTGACCAAACACTTATTACATGTGTTGGCCATTGCTTTTTTGTCTTTGCTCTGCTCTGCAAGGTCACTCCCTCCATTGTATCAGATGCTGTTAGCTAGGCTACAGGTTAATGTGCTACTTGCTTTGTTCATCTTCTGCCAAATATGAATTGCAAAATGTCAGCTCTCTGTCTCCCTTGCACCATACTTCAGCTTGCGGCTCTTGCACAGATCCAAGAAATATCATCAGCACCATGGAGGCTTCAAGACATGCTCTACAAACCTACGTGACTCAAAGCGTTGTCCATGGAACAATACCTCCTCAAATCTTTTGTTATCAGTCAACCGCAAGACAAGTACAAAAACCAAAAGTCAAAGTTTAGAAATTCTTTCCTAGCAATTGAAAAGGGTAATATTTTATGTCTGTTCAACTGAAAATTTAGGCTTTTTTGGTATGTCTTTGGATTTTTTATTTCATTTTTTCAGTAATATATTTTAATTGTATTTTACAAAAGTATTGCCCATGCTGGATTTTTTTTTATTTTTTTAAAGAAACTAGTCCTTCACTCCTGGATGCCAGGAGCAGGATGCCAGGATGCCAGATAAGCTGAGAGGCACTAATCTAGAGCAGTCCTTCTCCCACTTTAATATGAATGTGAGTCACCGAGGGGTCTTGTAAAAATGCAGATTTGGATCCAGTGGGTCTGGGCTATGACTTGAGATTCTGCATTTCTAACAGCCTCCCAGGTGATGCCAACGCTGACGTCTCTGAAACATACTTTCACTAGCAAACACCTAGAACAGTATGAAAGCTGTCAAGAGACATTTTTAGTGCACTGAGTTCTACTGAGCATGGCTCCTACTGAAGCCCTCATTTCCTCAGTTATTAAACCAAGACATAGTAATTTGGCAGAAGTATACTAGGTTCTAATATAATCACGAAATTATATTTCCCATTAAAAGTGAAATTTGTTTAAAAAAATGCTACATTTCAAATTTGCTAGAAAATTTCTAATTTATTTTTTTATTTCTAATATTGCTATATTCCTGAATGTATAGGTCTCAAGAACAAATATTCCTCAACACTAACTCATCTAATATGAGAGAAGTAAGATAGATGTATTCCCGCAGGCTACTTTTAGGAAAAGAAGGAGGGTATCCCTTACTGTAGGCGATACTGAGGAGGAAAGGCACCTCACCTTGGTGGGGGTGGCATCCCGGGTGAAGATGGGCCAGGTCTTCCAGGTCATGTTGTGGCGGTACTGCTGGTGCACATGTTCTCCCAGCCCATACACATTGGCACTGGGCAGTCGGAAAGACAGTTGCAGGTACTGCTGGGCAAACTGGAGGGGCCCGATGCTAGTGTCCAACCTGGGCCGTGGGGTAAGTAGAGCAAGCATCACCAACAAGCACTCTTTCCTCTGCTAGGAAGCTCTCTTCCCTTTCCACATACACTTACACCTCTGTTGTTTCATGTGTTATCAATTTTCACGCTACCTTTGAAGGCCTTTCTAGGGCACCTCTGGTTCTTTGATTCGAGGGGAAGACAGCATTAGTGGCAGGACGCCAGGAGCTCAGGTTGGACAATTGGGGAAAGAGAGCAGAGTTGACTTCATATTTAATGTGCATCCACTACATTCCAGGCACCACTCTGGGTGTTTTATAAACAACGTCTCATTACCCCTAGCAAAAGTGGATATTTTGAGTCCGTTTTTTTGGTCAAGGAAACTGATACTGTTAAGAAGAGGTATTTTGCCTGATATATAACACAGTTGACTTACTGGTACCAGGATGTGAATACTGGTTTTACTGACACTAATACTTCTATTTACTCCAGTACAGTTTGTGAATTAAGCTCAAACTGTTGGTCGGTCACTGCTTGATAGCAAAATTCACAGTGAATAATAATTTAAAATGATAGACAATGAAGTTTGAGTTCCAGTATGAATAATAATTTAAAACAATAAAATCCCCTATTTTACAACATATGTAAGCCAGAAGTATATTTCTGTGTATATATAAATATATTATATTATACAAATAGATAAATATATTTACATTTTTAATT